TGTCTGTGTCTGTGTGTGTCTGTGTCTGTGTCTGTGTCTGTGTGAGTCTGTGTGTGTCTGTATGTGTCTGTGTGTGTCTGTGTGTGTCTGTGTGTGTGTGTGTGTCTGTGCGTGTCTGTGTGTGTGTGTCTCTCTGTGTGTGTGTGTGTGTTTGTGTGTGTCTGTGTCTCTCTCTCTGTGTGTGTGTGTGTGTCTGTGTCTGTGTCTCTGTGCGTGCTTGCGTAAATTCACATTCACACAAGGGAAGACTGCCCGAACAAATAAATGAATGAATGGATGACTGAGTAAATGAAGGAATGAACGAATGCATGAAAGAAGGAAGCGAGGAATAATATGAAGCCACGAGTGCAACCACCGACGAATCCATGACTGCGCGCTTGACTGGCTGCTTGCATGACGCCTACAGATGCCTACAGATCCTAATTCCTCAACCCGAGACCGAAAAACTATCCTCAGCAAAAGCTTGTACTCATTGCTATTTGCTTGTTGAATTATGGTTGTTGATTCTTGTCAAATATCTACGCGTATTTCGTAATATTCTCAATATGAATAGAAGCCGTCCACCTGTGCCGTCCGATCTCGATGGCAAACGTTCATACAGTAACCTTGCTTGTGTGGACACTCGAAACCCAGTAATTAGTGGAATTGGTTGCTCGCTGATTTTCAGCATTGCCCCGGTCCACCCTCAGCTCCAAGCACAAATTTCTATTCCTGACGGTAGCCCTGATCCCTACGCCCCACAACCGTCAACGTGACATCATAATCCTCCACCCCGCAGCCTACATCTTGTATAAGGTCTCAACCCCGAAGGCTTAATTTTCTACCTCCTGACTCATGAAACTGTATTCCCTCCAGCAGCATATCTTCGAGACCTTAAATCCCATCAACCTTTGGCCAGAAATCCTACACGCTGAAACCGAAAGCGACAAACCCAAATATGAACCGAAGCCGAGGCATCGACCGCCCGATTGCCGGGCGGGGTGGCAGTCAGGTCGGATCCTTGACTTTGATTTCGGGCTTAGGGCTGCCATCCAGCCTAGGATTTAAGATTAGGGCTGATGGTTGTCCGGATACAGGATTTCGGAACTTGTCCTTCACGTGTGGCCAACATTTCTGCAACCTTTTACGTTCGAAGCCTTTAGCATTCGTGGTCTGGGCATCTAGCATGACAGGTTTTCTCGTATGTGGCCTTTTTGCAGCGGGTGCAGGACTTGAGAGAGCAATTCGAGCTTTAGTCTCTGGGTTTCGTAAATTTCGGGCTGTGGATACCCCCTTCCTTGACACAGTTGTGCTAAAGTANNCCCCCCCCAAAAAAAAAAAAAACCAATTCAGCGATTAAGGCCCCAAGTAGAGGTCCGGGGTCGGGGTCTGAAAGAAAGGGAGTCCAGAGCTGGAGGTCCAGTCCAGGCTTCAGTTCCCCTGCGGCCTCAGGCCCTAAACCTCCGAAGTCAACCGTAGAACCCTGCATTGCCCTAAGACAAAGCTAGAACCCTAGAGTCTCTAGAGCCCTCAAGCGCCCTAAAGCAAAACCAGTCTCGGACTCGCGTAAGACGAATTCGAAGAATCCTTCGAAGGCCAGATCTTCCGGATCCATGGCCGGAGATGTAGGGCTTAGTATGGGCAATTTGGCGGTGCTGGGGATGATGACGTTAAAGCTACTATAACTTAATTACAATGCTGAACTGAATCGAGATATAGATGGGGTCATGAGAACCGTGAAGCAAGGTGGTATCGGTCACGATGGCAATGCTCATTGCGAAAAGGATGATAGGTAGCAAACAATGATACACGATAGCGATGAATACAGCAGCAGTGATCATGATAATGCTACTGGACATGACGATGCCACTGGAAAAGATGGCAGTGACCAGAATCAGGAACCAAAACAGCACCCAAACAAAAGCCCTTAATGGCTTACTCAAAGAGGGTTTGTGGGATATCCCAACCTTATGATGTTTGTTTAGGTGCTTTTTTGGATCCCCCTAGAACAGCCATGATATCCAAACGGCCTTGGACCACCCTGGGCTCGCAACCAAAATGATCTGCTACTCGTGTAGTTAAAGCTATAGCATTCTATAGTATAGTATGGTATATTGTAAAATAGTATAGTAGTATATGGAAGAAGTTAGAGTAATATTATCGTATATTGTAGTTTACTACGGTATATTATTTTTTGTGGGGTTGAGAGCTGTTAAATCGAAGCCCATGAAGTGGCGAAGGGCCTTTGGTAGAGCTTTGCAAGAAGATCAAACAATTAGAAACTATTGAGTCATGAAGTCCCAAACCCCTCTAACCTCAATCCCACAGCTCTGAAGCCGAAAGCCACCCCTTTATACAGCTCACAGCCCTAAGCCCTCCAATATATCCAAAACCCTAAAGCCCCAAAAAACCCTCAACCCAGACTCTTGCACCAAACATGCTGGAACATGGCCTGCTGCAGTCGCATCGTGCAGATTTCGCTGGAGCAGCTTTCGGGGGACTGGCAGGCAACGTCTTTAGTGCTTTGAGCTTACTCGGTGCAGTTCTTGTTGGGAACCTTATACAGCCTGTAATCTAGTGATTGCTAAAGATCCCCATGATGGTAATTGATATCAGGTATTAGCAACGCAGGTTTAGGGTTTCGGGGTTGGGCTTAGCCGGTTAAGGGGGCATCGGGCATTGGGAAATACAGAGTCGAAGTCTCAGATGGGGCTGGAAAGCAACGCTGCTCGGTAATTATTGTTGCTGAGGCTTTCACAAGGCTCTGACACTTCCCAAAGCCCAACCCTGTTTAGGGTTCTTGGGTTTGGGTCGTGGTTATCCCCTAAGCCCTAAACCCTGAATCGGGCTTTTTCGGATTCCAGCGTGTTGGGTTTGGGCTTTGCACTGCTCATTATCAAGGCCCCTACATTAGCCCCAAACGCAAAACAAGCCACAAAAGAAGCAATGCGTGAGCATTCAGGGTTTCTTGAGTTGCAACCTGTGTTCGAGCATGTCAGCCCGCAAGCGTCATGTCTAACTCTGCACGCAGAACCGCAGCAGCCGGTTTAGTTTTAGGGCCAGGGGTTTTGGGGTTTGGAGATTGGGGTGTCGGGTTAGGGTTCAGACTTGGCGTGTCACATCGCATGTGGGGTATGGTTTCAGAGCACGAACCACCGGAGCATGAACCACTGCAGAATCATTATCTCTGCCGGCTCCCCAGACAATCTGAATTCCACAAAAAGTGTCCCGGGACCTTATTGTTCATCAAGGCTGCAAAATTCATTCATCGAGATGGGCTTCCCTTTAAGCAGACGCGAATCGGAGCTCCTTGCGACTTTAGGGCCCACTCTTTCCTGAACCTCCCATTAAGCACGAAAGTCGGCTTAGGGGTACAATGTCCGTAGGTCTGCACCCAGCTGTCCCTGCCTCTGTCAGAACTGTTCAAGATTAACCCTCTGCAACGAAGGGAGCCTTCAGTACCTCTGAGTTTATGGAAATAAAAACCAGCTGACACAGCTTCAGTCCTTTCGTCGTCCTCTGCATCTAGCCGCACTCGACACCGCAGCGAAATCGGGACAAGCCATGCACCAACTCTTATTCGGTCCCAAGCCCATGGACTTGGCAAGTTGCGCAGGAGCTCAGCGACATGGAGCTGGCGCACGCAGCACAGCTGCTGACAAACTTCGCCCGGGACGGTATCGAGGCCCCGGGAGCCTTCATGCAGGTGCCAAATCTGCATGGGCAATAAAGAATACGATGAGCTCCTGTCTTGCCCCAAGTCCGAGCTCTTGACTCCGACAGCGAAGACCGGGAGGTCGACTTCACCGGCCTTCAGCAAGTACTCCGTGCCCGTGCAGAGCGCAAGCAGTTGTCGTCCAGGTTGCCTCGGGGGGGCCTGAAAGCCATGGACGACAATGGTGAAAGCGGGCTCCGCCACGACGACTAGCACTGCTGGCACGAACTACTACGACGGACCATATCTACTGCAACTTCTTGTCACACTGCACACTTGAATGGCTGCTGCTGCTACTATTACTTCTGCTGCCGCCACTGCAACTAATGCTTCCTCCTCCACCTCCTCCTGGTACTGCTGCGGCTGCCACTACCGCTACAACTGCCACATCTGCTGCTGCAACAACCACCACCAGGACAAAGACGACGACGACGACGACGACAACTCCTAACACTAGTTACTAACACTACTTCCATTCCTACAACTAGTATTGGCTGCTACTGCTGCTCCTACTACTACTACTACTACTACTACTATTACTACTACGACGACGACTACGACTACGACTACGACTACGACCACGACGACGACGACTACTACTACTACCACCACCGCGCTGCTCCTGCTCCTGGTCCTGCCCCGGCTCCTACCAATATTACTGGCGCTACTAGCACTGCTGCTGCTTACTGTTACTCCTGCTACTATGGACTGCTGCCAGTACTGCGAGCATATCTATCCTGGTCAGGCGCCCTCACATGTCCAGGGTGATATGCTGTAATTTTTTTGGCTTCCCTAATCCCTAACATCCTGAAGTCCTTGACACCCAGTGTTGTACGTTTAGAGGTTTACTGACTTCTACATCACCCTGGACATGTGAGGGCGGTTGACCAGGGACGATGAGGCTACTACTTGTAGGACGACTGCTGCTGCTGCTGCTGCGGCCACTGTTTTTGCTATTTTTCAGTGGTTTCTTCCATGTTATATTACATGAATTATTACGTGTCAGCGCTGGTGCTATGTAGCTCTCATCACGGTATGGAAGCAAGCTCAGGTCTTGCGGTGTGCAGACAGAGGTGGTGGGGTCTAAGGCAAGGAAGTTTTGGTTTGGTGTCGGACTCTCCCATAAAGGTCACATACTCAACGCTCGTGCAGCTGAATTGTTGCTCAAGCTGCGGCCCCAAGATGACAAAGCATGGCATCAAGTATTATCCATGGCGTCAAAACTCTTGCTGGGACTGGAGTTCGGCCGACAGATCCGAACAGCAAATGGGACGTATTTGGAAAGCGAAAGTACGATCTCAGCGAAGAGTTCCGCATCATCCACGGTTCCGTTGGAAAGCTTGAGCCGCGCGCAGTCAGTTGACGGCAGCTTGAGGCGTGTGCGAAATAAGATGCAGGCCGAGGAAGACCTCCACACCCTACTGGCAGAGCATGGTTTCGCTGGTGGAGTCAACTGCCCGCGGGAGAGTGGCGGGAGGCTTTTCTTTTGCAGGTCGGAGGTGATCTATCCCATCCACTTCGCCGCCAAGCACGGAGATGCTCAACTTGTCCGTCGGTTGCTGACTGCAATGGCTGATCCACACCAGAAGACTTCCGCAGGTCGCACAGCGCTTGACATTGCGAAGAAGTCGAATAAAACGAACTCGCCCAGAGAAATCGAAGCATTGCTAGGTGGGGACTTAGAGATCGTATCAGTCCGGCAATTCCGCCGAATGGCGAAAGAGGCCTGGATGCAATGAGGTGGCTGAATAGGCCCACGCAGATAGGGTGACCTTTGGTAATCACCTGCGGCAGCCCAGTGGTTTCGATTGGAGCATCACGGGGATGCGTTGTCTTAAATGTGGCTGTCTCAGGTCCAAGGTCGTGTCTGCGCTTTTGCCTCCGCCATGCCTTTTCCCAATTAGTGCATAGAATTTCCGACACCCCAGGTGTTTTTCCCAACGATAATGGACAAAAAGTCTCAGGTGAGCCTGCCAGAGACGGGGGGAGAGAGAGAGAGAGAGAGACAGCCAGAGCGAGAGGGACAGACAGACAGCTAACAGTTTAACAGCCAGAGAGAGGAGAGCGTCGTGGAGCTAATAGGTGAGCAGGCCGGCAAGAGAAGAGAGAGATGCCAGATAAGGGCGACAAAGCTGACAGGCTGACGGAGGCATAACCTACTTGCAGCTTCTTCAAAGCCTGACCCTCATGAGGTTTAGAAAACCCTATACCCTAAGCCGTAAGACTTTCAGACTTTGAACGTCAGGGCCCTTTGCCTCGCCTCTGCAGCGCCCCGTGGCAGCATTGATGCTGAGGTCGAGGTTTTTAGGGCTGCTTGGTCAGACCCACGTGCTCTTGTCCTTCGTGTGTCCGCTTGCCTTCCGTTCTTTTCTAAAGGAAGCTGTCACAGTAAAGACTAAAGCGCGGAGCCTGTAAACCCTTCTGAGCGCCCCAAGGATGGCACAGGCTCCGCAACACTGCCTGGAGGAGCTGGCGATCTCCTTGGCTGCGGCTGCAAGGCTCCGGAGCTCCAGGTTCTTGGTCTTCAGAGCTTTGGGGTCTAAGGATTTAAGGTTCCTTTCGTTCTGACCAGCTTCAACTACACCAAGCAGCGGATACTTGGCCGAGAGCCAGGCAGACCGAGCTTGCGTTCTGGCAGCCCTGCTGTCCTATTCTGAAATTCTCCCTCTGCCATCTCCGACGTGTACGCTGCCCCCAGAGAAGAGGACGGGAAGAGTTGAGACCGGACAGGGCCCCAAGCCCGCCTCGACTGCAGAAGCAGTGGACCAACTTCCAGTAGGTCAGAAGGGTTAGGACAGTGTAGCCACGATGGCTCAAGCTCCGAAATGTAAAGCCCACCTTTCAATCCTGAAGTCTCACAGCCCCACGCCGCTAATATAGGGGCTTAAATAACTACCAATACTTTTTTCGGTAGTCCTTGTTATGAGTATAGTTTAATGGTCCGCAAAACCCTATGCTAGTTATCAAGGCCCCTATATTACATGCTTAAATCCGGTAGCCCGACGCTCTTCTGGTGGAGGTCAGACGACCGGCTCTCCCCAACACAGCTCAGCTCCCTCGCGCTGTGCTTGGTTCGGTTGGGTCAATCTCAGGCAGGGAAGAGCGCTCTTCCTGTGCGGTTTTCCCAGGTGTTGCTCCTTGCGGGGTCTGCAAACAACACTGCTTTTCTCTCAAGAAATGCTGTATATCCAGTATGTAGGCCGCCTGAAATCCCGACAGACCGATCATGAAGCTCGTACGGAAACCCCTGTTACCACGAATGAAGTGTTCGATGGTTCAGAGAGAGGAGGGCAGGGCTGGGCTGGGTCTCAAGTGTAGCGGGAGCTGCAGGATGCAGCTTAGATGGTTCAGGGTTTAGGGTTTAGCCCGTAAGCCGCTGAACCCTCAACCCCGAACCCAAATTCTTGAGAGGTCCGGGGCTGGTAGAGGTACTGGCAGATGGTCTCAACAGGCAACCTAATGGCTACTATCTGGGTTAAGCATTTGGGCCTAGAGTCTAGAGGGTAGGGTCTCAAGGTTTGCTGTTTAGTATGGCACTCATCAGGTACTCCGGGGTTGTAATTCTGTGCCCGAACGCACCTACAACCCTGTCCCTAAGTGCATCCCTAAACACTAACTCCACACTTCCTCCTTCCATCAAGGGGATTCCAGACAAACCGGAGTTTAGAGCTACGCCGGGCCATGGGGTGCAAAAACGCCGTGCGTTGAAAATTAGCGTACACACACACATATATATATATATGACAATATACGTACACACACATGTGTATATATATATATATGTATATATATATATGAGAATATACGTACACACACATGTATGTGTATATATATATGTGTATATATATATATGAGAACATATATATATATGTGTGTGTGCGTGTGTGTGTGTATATGAGAATGTGTGTATATATATATATATATATGTATGTGTATATATATGTATATATGTACATATATATATATATGTTATAAGGTTAACTGTTCAGGATCGGAAGATGATTCTTCTGGGGACTGTCACTCGCACGTGCATCTTTTTTACTCACATATGTGGCAGAGGCCGGTTTGGTTGTGGATGCGCTGCAGAGGCCAGGACAGGGTTGGGGATTGGGTTTGGCTACTGTGCCGCCTTGCTGGGTTCAGGTTCAGGGCCGTTCAAGGCTTCATGGAGGTTCCGGATTTTGGGGCTCTTGGCTCTATGATCAAGGTTTTCAGGGTTCAGGTTTAGGGTTTGTGTGGGAAATTTCATTTGCGGTTTGTGAGAATTCGCGATACCCTGCCGGGGAGGCACATTTCAACAGGCTCCGATGTATAAGAGTCGACCTTAAACAACCAGGTATCGGGAACCTTCGTATGCGGGTGGCTCCAGTCTCCCCCTATTTTGATAAAGGAAGACAAGAAATTTCAGAATTTGTGACTTTTACAAGGGCCCCTGAATCAGAAAGTATCCGTAATTGAAAGAAACCCCAGTTAGAACCGATACCTTGCCGGGCCATTCGCAGGCTTGCGGCCGTTGCCGAGGACAGGCCTCGTGCGATTTGTTTCTTGAATCACGGGGATATCGCTCGGAATGGAGATTGTGGCGTTCGAGGAAAATGGAGGAAGGGGCTTTAGCGTTATGGCGGGCTATTCTTCGGGGCTTTAGAATTTAGAGTTTCAGTTCAATGCAAGCTTTTAGGGATTCAGAGTTTAAGGGTTACGGCAAGTTGGATTTCAAGGCTTGACGGCTGTTTAGGGTTCAATATGTCAGGTTGCAGTAGGCTTCAGGGTTTAGGGTTGAGCATTAGTTGAGGGGTGCGTTCTCCTGGCCAGGAGCTCTCAAGCGAAGCCCTGTGTTGCGTTGTGGAGACAGCCGCGGTGCTGCGTGAGCGCGAGGTGGGGAGCGGGGGAGAGAGCCGGGGATGATGTGAGCTCTGCTTGAAACAAAACCTCAACCTACTTCTTCGTAGGGCCCGAGGAATTCGCTTTTTTAGCCGCTGTAGTAGGACCGACCGACCAACGACTAGGTGATTGATGTTCGAGCCTCCCATGTTGTGTGCGCACACACCCTCAATCCTAACAAAGTCAACCGCGACCTTAAAACTCTGAGCCCTAAACTTAAAAGCGGCGATGCAATGGAGAATGATGAATCTGGGATTTAAATAAAACGTGAAAACAACGTGAAACAAAAACGTGATTTGGCTATGTCGGAAAACGTGAAATAAACGTGCCAGAAACGTGATGGTAGAACCAAAATGTACGTTTTCCTTAGTAAAACGTGAAAAAAAGGTGCGGCATGGAACTTATAATAGCAACTAATCCATGCCGCACCTTTTTTTCACGTTTTGCTAAGGAAAACGTACATTTTGGTTCTTCTGGCACGTTTCTGGCACGTTTATTTCACGTTTTCCGACATAGCCAAATCACGTTTTTTTCGCGTTGTTTTCACGTTTTATTTAAATCCCAGATTCATCATTCTCCATTGCATCGCCGGTTTTAACCCTAAACCCGAAAACCTTAACTGCTAGGTGGAAAATGGTGCTTAAAAAGAACCGAAAACCCTGCAGCCCTAGCTTGGCTCGGGGTTGTGTTGCTTAGGAGTTGCGTGGGAGTGAACTGCGGGGTTCCTCCCAGTCTCCCCACTTGCCGAACGGGGAGTCTCTTGCAAACTGTTTAGGGTTTAGGGTTTTTTGGGAGTGTTTGTAGGCATGACAAGCACTGTATAGGCCAGCATGAGAGACCTCATTGAAAAGACTCTTGGCAGATGGTTATCAACATCTTAGGGAACAGGCGGGGGCGAAGGTTTCTTGCAGGAGTACTGACTAGTCTATCTCCACTCTTAGAAAGCTTCTTTCGAAGTTTGGTGCCTCTGACTTTGCCACTTTCCCAGGTGCTTGAGCTTCTTCTACGACGCTGCACAGAGGCGTGCCCGCACATGTGTCTTTGCTGGGTCTTGTCGGGTCTGCACCGGAAGTCTGCAAGGCAAGCGAGTCAGTGGCATCATGGTGCTAAAGTAAGCACCATAGTGATCCGACAGTTTGATAAACAACATCGGTTTCGTCCTACAAGAACTTCAGCAGTCAGAAGCACAGCCAGAAGCATAGGGATTCGACTAGGAGCAGCAGCAATACCACCACGAGTTTCAACAAGGATCTCGACGGCTCCTCTCCAGCTTTTCGCATCTGGCGTACTCTCCCTTCTTTGTGATTCGTGACTTCTGGTCGATCGGGTGCTTTAGGGCTTGGGTTAGAGGTTGAGGGTGTGGGTCTTTGTGAGCTCCAAGGGGCGGGTCAATGGTAGCAAGAAAGACCCAGGAGCAAGTCAACATAGACAAACTGGACATGTCCTATGGGGGTTGAGCTTCAGGCTTTGATAGTAGACCATCATGAAATAGTGGTTTTTTGTTGGCTGTCACTGTTCCTACAAAGCTTGTCCATAGCAGGCTTCGAGGTGACGCTTCGCCGCAAAGGTTATATACTCCACCGGAAGCCATCGAACCTCGTTTAAGAGCCCATAGAAGTCAATTCGACCTTCATGGCATAGTGAACCCTAAAGTCATCGACCCTTTTACTCGGGGCTTTTAAGCTTTGGAGCGTAGTGTGAAGTAGGACACCGAGACACATGGCGCTTAGAATCCCATGAATTGGGAAGATTAGAGACTCGCTGATGTCGTAACATCCTGAACCCTAAGCCCGGATCGCGAACTCACAAGCAGGTGGCTCACAGCTTTCCAGCCGGAGCAGCCATTCGCATCCTGAAGCATTCTGTCGGCACTAGCTAAGGTCTTGCGCACACCCGCAACCCCTGCAGTACGTGCTTTTTTTATTTGTCCATTACATTTGCCGTTATGCGCATTTGGAGCTTCTGTGCTAGCAGGAACGATGCTCTTGCTAGTGTTTCTGCTGTTGCTGTTGCGGTTGCCTTTGCCGTTGCTGTTGCTGTCGCTGTTGTTGTTGCTGCTGCTGTTGTTGTTGTTGTTGTTGCTGTTGTTGTCGTTGTTGTTGCTGCTGCTGCTGCTGTTGTTGTTGTTGTGGTTGAAATTGTGCTTGGTGGGTGGGTGGGTGGTTGGGTGGGTTGCGTGGGTGGGTGGGTGGGTGGGTGGGTGGGTGGGTGGGTGGGTGGGTGGGTGGTGGTGGAGGTTAATGTCGTTGATGTCGTTGTGGTTGTGGTGTCGTTATTGTCGTCGTGGTCGTCGTCGCCGTTTGTGTTGGTCGTGGTGGTGGTGCTGCTGCTGTTTCTACTGTGCACTGCCGTGGTAGCTCCGACTATTGCCACTGTTCCAAACCCCCAGAGTTTCTCATGTTGGGTTTCTGAGTTTTTGTTTTGAGTGTTCCGGTTTTAGGGCTCAGGGTTTCGGATTTTGGGCTTCTGGGATTGTTTTTGAGTGTTCCGGTTTTAGGGCTTTGGGTTTGGGGTTTCGGGTTTAGTTCAGAATTCAGCGAATGAGGTTTCAAGGCTATATAATATACATTGAACAGCCGAGGGCTCAGGATTTATGGTTTGGGACTCTCGTCCAGTGGAGGTAAGGCCGGAAGGTTGGTCCTGTTTGTTGACTTCACGGGAAGCCTTGAGCAGCTTCTTTTGTCGGAGGGCGGTTTTGCAAGTCTAACTTCATAGGTTCATTTTTATGACGCTTTGATTTATGCGTTGTAGCAGAGTTGAGGCAAAAGCCGGGGAGACTTCAGGCCCCACGCCCTTGTAGGAAGCAGAAAGTCTTCCAGCTTGTAGGCCCGAGATTCCTGAAAGCTCAGGCTTTTGTGTAGGTGTGCCGTTTAGGGTTCAGGGTTTCGTGAAGAGCCATGACAATAAATCCTAGATGCTACATGGCTTTAGGCGTTTCACTCTTAGGCTTGAGGCCTCAACCCTGAAAGGAAGAGGCCTCCATTCCAAGCTCCTGAGAAAAGACATGGTACCCTCTTGCAGCCTGACCAGCGCTGGATCGGTTAGGGCTACGGTAAAGGGCTTAAATAGTAATTGGAAAATAATGTTCCCTTGTAGTCCGGGTATGGTTATGGTCCAAAAATCTCCCAACACCCTGTAATTATCTGATCTTTAGCTTTAATATACCTGCAACTCGGATTCGTGATTCGTTGTTTCAGGCTCAGGTTTCGTGGTTGACGACGTCTCGTACTGCTCCTTCTGACTACTCTTGCTCTTTTGCTTGCTTCTCTCGTTGCGGGCTAGCTCTGTTTAGTGATTGGTTCGGTTGCCGGTCCAGGTTATCAGAGCTTGTGGCACAGAAGACCCATATGATTCAGACGTTCAGGGTCTTGGCTGCGTACCCTCCCTGCCCTGAACAGCTCTCGACATGAATGTGGAGCCACTGTGGCTCAAGATTCATTTTGAACCATGGTGTCTATTCTCTCGAGTAGCACACAGCTCGGCCGGAACATCCCGACATCAAAGGCGAAGTCAGTGGAAAGTGAGAGTACGGTCTCTACCAAGAGTTCCGCATCAACCACAGTTTCGCTGGAAAGCTTGAGCCGCGCGCAGTCAGTTGACGGCAGCTTGAGGCGTGTGCGAAATAAGATGCAGGCCGAGGAAGACCTCCACACCTTACTGGCAGAGCATGGTTTCGCTGGTGGAGTCAACTGCTCGCGGAAGAGTGGCGGGAGGAGGCTTTTCTTTTGCAGGTCAGAGGTGATTTATCCCATCCACTTCGCCGCCAAGCACGGAGATGCCCAGCTTGTCCGTCGGTTGCTGACTGCAATGGCTGATCCACACCAGAAGACTTCCGCAGGTCGCACAGCGCTTGACATTGCGAAGAAGTCGAATAAAACGAACTTGCCCAGAGAAATCGAAGCATTGCTAGGTGGGGACTTAGAGATCGTATCAGTCCGGCAATTCCGCCGANNTGGCGAAAGAGGCCTGGATGCAATGATGTGGCTGAACAGGTCCACATTGGCATCATGGATCTATAAATACACTAACGTACAGGAACAAATAAACACAGAGCCATACACGCATATGTGCGGTATTGCATACTTATGCATATAAATACATGTACATATAATATGTATCTGCAAATACGTATGCACTGTATGAGTGCATGCATACGTATGGCCACAGTGATATGAAGTAGAAGTCAGAAAGTTGGAACA